AGGGTTTATAGGATTTTCTTGAGGTTTGCTCATCTTGAGCAAGTTTTATACCCTAGTTCAAAAGATTGGCTTTAAATGAGTATGATTTTTTAATAATACGAGATATATTCTATATCTATGAATCAACATATCACAAATGTCCACTCTTGCCATACATATTTTACTGTTGAGATTTTTGTGTGAAGAGAAGGGGATTGATCCAGGAGCCACACGACACTGGCGACTTAAGTTGTCCCAGGCATCCTGTCTCTTTCCTTGGTTAGTTTTGCCACCAGGTGGCAGAGCCAGCTGCTTTGTATATGATCAGCAGCTGGATTAAACCAGGAGATTACCCTGATAGAAGATGGGGGTTACTTAACCCTTTAATATCAGAACTGGATTTATCACGATGCGGCCACCTGGAGGACTAAAATAGACCTAAACTCCTCTAAGGAATTTAGGGGTAGTAATTAGCAAGAATGAGTTCCTTGCTTTATCTTAATTATGTTTCAACAACAAAACAAAACCCAAACCAGATAAACCACTTCAGATTCAAAACAGGAAATTAAATCCAGCAAATACTGCCATCTTGCAAGTATTGCCATTGTCTGTGAAAGGCCAAGAGGTACAAAGCTAATATTTTCCCTTCAGGGCAGCAGGAGCAATAAACAATATCACAAATAGGATTTTAACATTCTGTAAAAGTTGCCCTATTCTGAGGGGAGAAACTAGAATTATGGGTGTGGGGAAATTTCTCTTTTAAAATTGCATGACAGAGAAATCAAGAAGGAAGGGAAATATGTGCACATATATAGCATTGGGATCCAATTTTGAAGTCTGTTTTCTTTTTTTTTTTTTTTTTTTTTTGAGACAGAGTCTCACTCTCTTACCTGAGCTACAGTGCAGAGGCGTCAGCCTAGCTCACAGCAACCACAAACTCCTGAGCTCAAGCAATCCTCCTGCCTCTGCCTCCAGAGTTGCTGGCACTACAGGCATGTTCCACCTTGCCCAGCTAATTTTTTAATATATTTTTAATTGGCCAATTAATTTCTTTCTATTTTTAGTTGAGACGGGGTCTCACTCTTGCTTAGGCTGGGTTCGAACTTCTGACCTTGAGTAATCCTCCCGCCTTGCTTCCCAGAGTGCTAGGATTACAGGTGTGAGCCACTGCACCCATCCTTCCTCTCCTTGACGACATTCAAAGGATGATACCACCACTTGGCTTTGGCCAGTCAGTGGCCTTCTTCCTTGTCACCAGGGCTTTCCTAGCCAGTTGGCAACCAGGAAAAAAACCTTACTAAACCAATGCTACTACTGCGGCCACTGCTACTACTGCTAGATATAAACACCAGAATGGCTCACATTGCTTTTTGACCCTGTGAGAGTGGCCAAAATGCAGGTCTTATGTGTTTCCAAGGGGCCCCTAAAACTCCACACGGGAGGTTTTGGAAGAGAGGACCAGGTATCAGTCTTGGTGCTGATAAAAAGGGAAATGGTCAGTAGCACCAATACGCCTTCCACCTGTCAAGAGTGGAAAGCCCTCATCCTTTCCCTGGAGGAATTTGGCAGACCAAACAAATCTGTATCTAAGAGTGTGTTTTTCCAGGAGGGAAGGATCTGATATGGATGGCAAATCTAGAGACCCAAATACCTTTTCTGCCTGGGGGTACATGGAGCATAGTTTTTTCTTAGTCCTGGGCAAGTTGCACCGGTGGTGGGATGAGGTCAGCAATTAGAGTCGGCTCTTCTGGGCTAGGATTGGGCCTTCGGCTTGTAGGGCAGTTAGCAGTTTCCCAGGGAGGGAACCCAGCTTCAGAAATTCATCTCCCCCTGTGACACATCCCTAACAACAACCAGTGAGGTCCTCTGTCCTCTTTCTGAGTGTGTATGTGCATGCCATTGTTTGTGTCAGTTGCTCTATTATACAGAAAAGTGTTGAGGGCTAGGCAGGTTTTCCAGCGTGCATTTCATGTACCCCCTCAGGAATGCAACTGGCAGCAGTATGGTCTGAGCTTCGAAGCACGAATTATTCCTTCTTCTGGCCTACCACAACACGAGTACCCCATCTACTATACGAGCACTACTATTGGAGTCGTTCACATATGGCCTTTTTCTTTTTTCTTTTTTTTTTTTTTGAGAAGAGTCTTGCTTTGCTTGCGCGCCCGGCCTTAGAGGATGAGTGCACATGGCGTCAGCCCTTCGCTCCAGCAACCTCAACACTCCTTTGCACTCATCGCACGCAACACCATATGCGCGTGCTGCACCGTTGCAAGGACCATCGCAGAGCTGGGGGGCACTTCAGATCGCGCCAACCACCATGCGCGGCGGCTCCGCTTATTCTGCTCACTGCGGGTCTTGCAGTTGGGCCTCCCCCCATTACAAAGATCCCTTCTTTCTCCTTTAATAGTTTGACTAGCACCGCACATCGCTCCCTTTCCACAGCGCTATCCTCAGGCTTGAGCTTGTTGGAGATATCTCCTCGACCTCAAGGCGACCTCCCGCCGCACGCCGCATTATCCTGGCTCATGCCCAGAGTGCTAGGACTCAGACCAGGTGGTGAGTCGCACTACTCCTGCGCACGTGCGGGCG